CATGCTGGTCGCCTGGGGGAAACACCTTACTGCCTTCACACTCCTGTCGCAGAGGACAGTACGACTTTACCCCCAGACCGCCTCGTAGCACGACTACTCGTGTTCATGCTTCAGCCATGTGACTGGTATGCCCGACTGCTCGAACTGTCCTGGTTGTGACGATTGATTGACTGGCAAGTCAGGCAGCACCACAGACGCTTGAAACCCGCCGAACAGTCTTTGATTTTGTTGCGGGTGGTTGCGGGATATGCATTGTTTACATTCACGTCACTCTCGTTTGAACAGTCGTCCTCCTTTCTCATGAGTCCACACCAACTAGAGTGATGTGAATGTGAACATTACATAACCCGCAACCACCCACAACCAGATTTTCGTTTACTCTGTCCAAAACGCAGTGGTTCCAGGATGTATGCACAGCAAAAACTTACTGTGCACCAAACATGTCAACGATGATGACGAATCTGTACTTCTTGTTTTAGGAGCCACTCTTTCTTTTCCAAAACCGAGGTACTTCTCATTTACGAGGAATATGCAATCACTGATGTCCTTCTTCTTTCAGACTGATAGGGAACATTTAGCTTATCATAATGCACTACTCATAAGGTTGCTGAAGTTTTTCGACAGCCCACGACCGGTCTCGCTGGTAAGAGTCATGATAGGGCCGAGGTTGTTAACTTCAAAACGTTCATCCTCTAGCACGACTTACGAACATCAAACGATATGCTGTGAAGAAAATTCAACTTTGACCAAAAAGCCTTTTTATCAATCTACTAATTTCAGAGTAACCGGAACATTGTTCACTTGATCGGTACAATCTCTCTGAGAGAGAAACAAGTGCTGCTGTGGTTCTATAGTGCACACTATCGATATGCTGCGGGATTTTCGACTGGGATGCCGCCGATGCGTACTCAAGCATTGGTTTTGTTGGAGTTATCTTTAAAACCAAACGTCACAAACCAAACTCACGGTGAGTTAACATCCCTCATAGACCGAAAGTGATCGTGGTAACTGTTGCTTACCGCAATTTTGTGGCGGTACAGATAAAAAGACACCGAAGGCAGTGTGAAAACCGACAAGTGACGGAGAAACATCACCGAAAAGTGTAGAACACTTGGTACTCAAAGTGGCGCAAAGACAAGGCAGCAAAGAATGACATTATAGGAAGCTAATACAAAGAGGGATGGCAGTCCGTAGCAGTGTGCCACTGTTGGTATTGTAAAATTGACGGGAAGTTCTGCAACACTATCTCCAAAGAGCCCGCTCAAAAGCAAACGAATCTCTAGTATATTCTTCTCAGAACAATAATTGGCACTGAGAAAGAACCTTAGTTACTATGAGTTTTTTTTATAACGGTACGACAATAGCAGTTTCAGGTGCGCTTGGGCCAGCGAGGTTGCTCAGATTGCTCATGATTCACTAGAAAATCAGGCATCAGTCTGTGCATGAACTCTGTAAACAGTAAAATATGTATCCTCAGATGTTACTGTGGCCATTTTCCGAATCAACCAGCAGAATAAATAACCATTTTCACCTCGCAAAAAGTGATATCAGTCAACTAGGGACAGCTTTGCACCTTACAACGTCATTCCCTCAGGCAAGAGAGAGTGCACTATAGTATAGGAATGAGAAGTACGATTAAATGGGAAGACAACAGCCGAAAACACACCTCTTTTCCAGAAAAAGATAATTGAACAAGTCCATCACCTGACCCGATCCACAGGGAAGAAGACCAACAAGGGTTGCACCCAAATCTGGCAACAATTCGCACACCGCCTCAATCTCAAGGCTGAGAAAAAAGTGGATGAGACAGTTAGAGATGGAATCACGTCATAGCCTTACTGCAAACTATAGTTTAAAGCTCAATAGCGAGAAAAAATGTCCTCGCGGACTAATGGAAGTCCTACCCGAGACTTGCAAGCTGAAATCTGGCTGAATTCTTGTAACTCAATTAAGTTCCGTGATATAATGTCATGATAAGAAAACACACTATGATACGCTATGACACGCTATGATACATTAACCTGTATAACGAGGGATGTATTTATCGATCCTTCTACAAAGTGTGGTTTTGCTTTTATCTTTTTCGTACTCCTAGCGCTGACAGAATATTGACTCTTCTGTTTCTCTCTCATGCTGCTCGCATTTTACGATGAACTGGATAATGGGATGATAGAAAACCACAGCAACTTACGTTCTGATAAAACTTCTCCACGCTTTTATAACCACTTTAGCAAACGGCGCTGTCTTGTAGCGCAGACAGATTCTGAAGTTTTAAAATGTAGCGTGAGTGAAAAAATAATTTCGAGAGAGCGAAACTAAGTGCCAACTACTGAGCTGTCTACCTACTTCAGTGTGGCCATAAACTTGGCTCGCATCCTCGTCACATGAGTTGATCCAAGCAGTTGAATAAATACCACTAAGCTTCGGAGAGCTATCCATCGATGTTCCAACATAGTATCATCGTCCAACAAAGTAGTGTCGAAGAACGCCAAGATTCCACAAACGTAGTGGCCCAGGAAATCGGCCTGAGAAAAACAGGAAGGTAGTATCGACTGAACTGTAGAAAGAGATATCAGACGGCTAACGAAAATACAACACACTGCCTCAAAGCAATAACTAATCAGTTTCTTAGTAGGAGCATAGACCAAACATAGGACCTCTAGAAAATGCTGCAGATCGATGAGTGAGGCGCAATCATCGGCATTGGGGGCAGCAACACCAGTGGTGAAACTGATGCTTCACTGCCGTAAAAATTCCAAGTTTATCTAACTATATTCCAACGTTAGAATAAAAATTGAAAATAGTGGGTGAGTGAGCGAACCTGGTTCCAGCCTACCACAATCACTATGCCTGCTCATCTAAGTGTTAAATCAGACAACCAGCAAAGCACCTGACAACATGAACGCGACCGATATCGATCACCCGGCATAGCCTAGTTGGATATGGGGCCCTTTCGTCAGCGGACACCACCTCGACAGGCTACATCCACTGTTACGGGCAAAGCAGCAAAGTTGGATCAACATACGTCTGAAACAGGGGATCTCCGTCGCCCGTGTATCTCGTGTCCAATCCAACACGACCACCCGATTGGGCGTCCATCGTGCTCAGTCTACCTACCTGTGTTCATGTCACTAGCAACTACAACGGGCACTTAGCCCGTTGTAGAAGAGCACCAAGAACCAAAACCAGCGGCGCTTCTGAGGCATCGGTAGTCAAAAGCCGGAAGATGTCTCACATCATCTGTCCACAGACACCACGACTCGGAGCCATACATCAACACAGACCTTACTTTAGCCTGATACATGCGACTTTTAACACTCACTGATATGCCTTTTTGACGCCACAAATGACGCAAATTAGCAAGTGATTCGGGCCTTCGAGATTATTGCACTGACTCCATGGGACACACTTCTGTCAGACCTAATACAACTACCGAAGTATATAAAACTCTCTAGAAGTCCCAGTGATTTTGCCTGAATTGTAAGGGCTATGCTAAGAGACTGCACGCTCCGAAATATGACTTTGCACTTTGTCTGAGCTTTTAGCCCCTTATAAAGCAGCATCTAGAGCGCCATCGAAATTGTCTTTGGCAGATTCAGAGATATACTCAGTTGGGACATATACAGACAAAATTAGCAGTGTACGACGGACCCCTTATTCGCGATTCTTTCACAATGCTACCAAACGAACCGCACGGAGACTATTATTTACAGGTATCCAATCAAGTACAAACGCCTACGCTCAGTAGCTCAATACATTACCCACCCTAGTATATCCATCCGCAGCGGCCTCCGCCACTACAGGTGCTTGGCTAGAACGGGAGAGCGAGGGGAAGTCAGTTCAGTTACAGCACTTGCGTCCTGTAACCTTGTTTCCGACAGACAACATACATCAATGCAGGGGGGATCCAGCGAAGGAACAAGAGCCACTTGTGGTCCTGTCTGCTTGTTCGAAAAGAGACTTCGGAATGTTTATGGTTGTTACGGAAGCTGCAGTGAATGTACTGAGTGGCGGTTTATCTTGGTGTTGGGACCCGTGGGAGTTCTCAAATGGTGGTTGCGTAGTGGAGGGAATAGGTTAAAGTAAGAAGGGAAGCGTCAGCAGCAGAATGTTTCCATCTACCCTCCCTGCTGTACGCAGCAAGTAAGGCGACCCGTATCGTGACAACACGCGACATCAGGCTATTCTTAGTTATAGGTATCATGGTTATACGCGGGTTGTGATACAGCCAGGGCACCCACACCTGGACAGAAGGATTATTAGGGTCCTCAACCAAAGCCTTTGGCTTAAAAGCCTGACTACAAGGCGGCAGTGTTTGGCGTTTCAATTTCCACAGAACAAGTCGCTATCCATGTTCTAACCCCGAACCTAGAGGGTCCGGAGAATATTGGTCAGACAACTAACCATTGACCAACCTGGCATGAGAGACTCTGTGAGTGTCAAACGGACATCATACAGTATAGCGGAGGCACAAAAACCATCAAACAACAGTCAGCCCCAGTTTCTTGGTGATTCTGTTCGATGTCTGAACTTCTACGATCCCATACGCAGAACGCGAGAAGATATAGAGCGCTGGGTGAAGTGTAAATCCTATATTAAAGACAATTAGAGGAAAAGGGAGCGACATAAGATTGAGAAAGAGCGGTCCACTCATACATGGTACCCGGAAAACGAGGAGTGTGAGAATTCATTCTAACTCTCCCTCGTGAAAGTACTTAATTCTAATGAAGAATGCATCCAGTGCATCTGGATCATAAACGTCATCCTGGAAGGTGGCGCAGAAGAACAGGAGCTGTACATGACACAGGGACTCTAAAATTTTCGGAGCATGGACAGAGGGAAATGCCGAATGATGCCGGAGGTCAGATAAGAATGCATATGAAATCCTTGTGTGCGCTGGCTGATCCGAAGAGCTGAGAAATACTGGAATGTGGAAGGATTCTGCCTACTTCCGACAATCTAGTAGTTACAAATGAGGGCAAAACACGGGACATTGATGGCTCGAACACGATTGGCAGTAGTTATCGTCTCTGAAGTAGACGTTAACGGGACCGGTCAAAAATTACAGAAAAGTGTATGCATTCGAAAGAGACAGTTTTCGACGATTGCACGATCCAACAGTATACCCAGACGATGTGGTCAAAAATGTGCCTCAGTTGTCGCTAATACCAATGAAACTGGCTGTCACCATCATCATCATCAAAGATAGTAACATAGGTGTTGACACTGATGCTTGACTGCCGTACGAACTGGCTGTGCAGCGATATGAGCAAGAACCTGACGGGACAGACCAGCAACACGGCATGGGAGGGATGGTGATCGCAGCTGGGTTTCAATGTAAACAGTATGCATTCGAAAGAGACAGTTTTCGACGATTGCACGATCCAACAGTATACCCAGACGATGTGGTCAAAAATGTGCCTCAGTTGTCGCTAATACCAATGAAACTGGCTGTCACCATCATCATCATCAAAGATAGTAACATAGGTGTTGACACTGATGCTTGACTGCCGTACGAACTGGCTGTGCAGCGATATGAGCAAGAACCTGACGGGACAGACCAGCAACCGTCACGGCATGGGATGGTGATCGCAGCTGGGTTTCAATGTAAACATAAGCGGCCCCCAAAGTGAGGAAAATTGCAACGAAAATGGTGGGAACAATGCTTACCGAAGCGGGCCCTTTGACGTGAACAAGTGCGGTAGATGTGCTCTGGGAGTCCCGCAAAGCGAGCACACGGGAGGCAATCCAACGTAAGCCGAGACTTGCTCCAACACGATAGGGGTACAGACGCAGAACGAACTGATGCATCAGACGAGATACGTCATTCAACCGAGCAATGCGTTCAATGGGCATGCCCAAATGTGACTACGAACATAGACGAAAGATGTGCATATAGTGGGTACAAGTATCGAAAAGATCTCTCATGAGATGGTCAATAAGAACCATAAGTGAACCCCACTGTCGAATATCGCTGGAAGCCATCCTTAATATGAATGCATTAAAATAAGAAAAGTGGGGGCACAGATGTCTGCGAATTGGCAATAATGAATAGAGGGTGCATATTCCTTCATGTTGGTCACAGAACAATGCGACAGCCAGGGACCACAGCCGTGGGATGCTTGTGTTGCACTTAGAACCAGCAAGTGTAAACGCGGAAGAAATGGATCTAGCTGAAGCTAGATTGAGAGAGAACGGAGTGAAGAACCGATGGGATTTACCAAGGAATGAACTAGGATGTCATACTTCTGGCACTACCACCAAACAGACCAAGCCAATTAGTCCGCTATGGATTGCCCCAAAAAGGACAGTTGAGACCGTGTTGATGCTTCCCTAACCCTAACTGTTTCGTTACGTCGTATGACAGATTACCAAAAGTGGAAAAAATAAGGGCAGACGGCTACAGCGACTGACGTCCCTTATACGTGCACATGGTGCATGCGTCCTAGCTGTTGTTTTTCTGCGCAAAACTTCATCTCAGCTTTATTGTCACCAACTCCGTAATGGTAGTATACGCGTATGCATTTGGTTCAGAAAGGTCCCTAGGGAAGTTTCGTTTGGATATCCCTGTTCGATCGACAAAAAAATCCTTAGTATGACCCGGCCTGGGGTTCCGAATAATGTTGGTGGAAAAGAACCACAGTAATGTCGGTAATCCACATGTTTGCCGAATCTTCGTTTTGTAGTCTGATTTGAGGGTATAATCAACTTTCGAACAAACGGGTCAGAAGTGAATCAAACTACAAAGATGGATCAAGGAGATACGAAAATTGATATTTAAAGGTGAATGGCCTCGGGTTATCCGTACAAGTTTCCGCTGGGACTGGTCATGACACGCTCCAATCCGGTGGGAAATACTTACCTCAAGGAAAGCAAAATGAACCTCCTGTTCATCTTTTGAAGTTTTCGTGAAGATATGAACCAGTGCATCCGGCAAAACGCACAACTGGATCAGCTTGTTCACATAATCCTAGAAAATTGAAGATGGAGACAATAAGTGGGGCAAAGGAAAGCATAACAGGGATATGCCAGAACAAGGATATGTTAATAAAATGTAACTGTCCATAGCAGGGAACAAAGAACAAAATGCTTCGACTGTCACGACAATTATTGGCACAGAGAAATACTTGTGTTAACATACTTGACCTGCACGAATGTAGGGAACTTCTGCGACAAGCTGACGAATTTGTACATGACTCTCTTGATTCCCACGAAGAACAAGGGCAATAAAGAGTGGCGAAATCAACTCCTGCAAATAGAAGCAAAAATATGTTAACAAAGTTTTGGAATAGAAAACAGCGCTTCATTAGGTGGATTGCGGTCGGACACCCTTACATGTACCAACTATGCCACTTGCCACTCTAGCGATCCTGACTTTAGTAAACAAATCCTCATATGAAAACGGTTGGATGAAAGCAGAAGATCACGGAATATTTCGAATAGATAAGGTCACCAGGAAGGCGACACTGTTTAGAAAAAAAAAATACCCCCCCCCCAAAAAAAAAAGTAGAAAATTAAGGCACATCGAAAAAGTGAGCTCACTTTGAATATGTCTGCCTTATTCAACTGAAACAAGCGGGACAGACAGTCGATCAGCTGTTTGACCGGTTGATCCACGTGGTCAGCAACTACCTGAAATGCCATAGCGTTGATAAATTTCGGTTGTGCAATGGTGTATTTAAATAAATCAGTCAAATAACGATAAAACAAACTGACTGATCTTCACTGGACGCACACCAGTGATGTGCTACTCACAAAATTACGGAAGTCGAGTAACTTCAAGCTTGCTTAGCCTCTGATGGTAGTAACAGTGAAGAGGCCCCACCTAAAGCTGCCACCTTGAAGTGGCGGTCGGGCTTGAGTGCTGCAGCGATCCCGCGAGATACACTGGCTGGAACTTCGTTCCACAAGGTGCAACCATGCCAGGAAGGCCAAAGGGGAGCAGCCAGAC